AACTACGTTCTGTGCCCTAAGTAACAGTTCTTGCCCTCAGTAACAATTCTGTGTCTGCCCGGAGTACAATTCTGTGGCCCGAACTAATATCTGGTGGCCCTCATAACAGTTCTGTGGCCCTCAGTAACAATTCTGTTGTCTTGTCCCTGAGGAACAATTCTGTGGCCCTAACTAACGTTTCCTGTGCCCTAAGTAACAATTCTCTGCACTCAGTAACAATTCGTCTGTCCCTGGAGTAACAATTCTGTGGCCCTAATAACGTTTCTGTGGCCCTAAGTAACAGTTTCTGTGCCCTCAGTAACAATTCTGTGTCGTCCCTGAGTACCAACATTCTGTGGCCCTAACTAACATTTCTGTGGCCCTAAGTAACAAACCTGGCACTCAGAAAACAATTCTGTCTGTCCCTGAGTAAACAATTTTCTGTGGCCCTAACTAGCCGTTCTTTGGCCCCTAAGTAACGATTCTGTGGCCCTCATTAACTATTTCTGTGTCACCCTGAGTAATGCTTCTCTGTACCCTTAAAGTAACGTTTCATCTGTCCACCCAAGTAACGTTTCTGTGGCCCTAACTCTTGTCCCTAATACAGAGCGGTCCTGCCTCTCTTGAATGACTGGAGGCAAATGAAGAATTCTAAAATGGCCGCTATTTATAGGCTCGTAACCATTACACAGTGCTGGCTGCCTGGCTTCTGATTGCAAATTAATGCGTCACATGGTCATTAAGGAATGCATTATGGGTCAGTAGCGCGCCTAGGTCCGCCGCGCCTTCCCAGACATCCCCGCTCCGTCGACCGCACATGTTCCGCCCGCCATTTTTAGGAAAAATTTTAGATTCGTGCGTCACGACAGTAGGCTATTTTTTTTTTCGGATTCGGTGCGAATCGAAAAATTTCCAATATTCGACTCGAATTCCCACTTCGCCTACTTCGATTCGCTCATCTCTAGTGTGCGGATCAACTGGATTAGCATGTCTTTCCTCCGCAGTGATTTCTAGCTTTCCATAGGGAATCCCCACAGGTATGGCAACATACATACCTACATTGTTTCAAGCAAGGACCAATGCAAACTGTGTATAAAATTGCCTAAACCTAAAACTTCAGCTTTAAACATGCATGAAGGAGATTTTGGAAATTTGATGTGAATGTAATGGATGCCATTGATTTCAATAGTATCCCCTTACAAGGAATTGGCGGAATAATGGTTGTGTAAATTGTAACTGTTTTCGTCTGCTATTCTGTTAATCAGCTAATGAGAAGAGAGAGAAGAGTAATAATTCCAGACTCCTCCTGATTACATATTAGTTTTTTCCCTCTTCTGGTCTCCACCACTCACTGTTCCTACTGTGATGTTTCTTCGAATTAGGTGATCATACATAGAGCTGTATAACATATAAAGTAACTAAGGAAAAACTCGTTATGTGTGAACCTGGGGTTAGAGGAATGAGAACAAACCATTTCTATCCACTGGACAGTGGTCTTACAATGATCAGCTTTTATTCATTGATGCAAAATCTTTATCCCAAAAGGAACAACACTGTTGCGGTAACTGCTTAAAAATTATTAGCTGGATTTTTCAATTCATTTGTTTAGTGTATCTAAACATGTTAGTCCATCTAACTATCCCCCCTCCCTCCTTTAACAATGCTGCTGTCCAAAGTTGTCTTTGTTGCTCCAGAGTGGTGTTACTTATGGAGAATTTTTGGGTACAAACATTTGTCTGGGATTTTCCAGGGCACACACAATTTTAAGACTTGACATGTGTGGTATCTATTTATTCAAGGCAACCCCATATTTTTGTATTTTTACTAGAAAATTGGGAATAATATTGTGTTTGTTTTTTTTTTTCCTCTGAAAATATATATTTATTAAATAGCTGCACAAACATTGTGTAACTTAAAAGAATTGCAAACAATATTTTATTCTCCAGGGTCTCTGCTTTCTGAAAATATATATATGTTTTCGGGGTCAGATTAAGGCAGATTTTAACATGTGCAAAAAACTGAAAACGTATCCTGTTAAACAAATGGTTAAAAGAAGATTTTTTTTCACTAGACAAAGTCGTTATTGTTTATGGAATGATCTTTTGCATGAAAGCGATTGTCCAAAGATTCAATCACATGCCTGCTGAGAGCTTATGTCTGTGGGTGGCCTAAACAGCAAATGTGTCATTAGAATTTCAGTTGGTGAAATCATTTGAATCGGATATTTACTCCCCTCTACCAGTAGATGGCAGGACATAGTCTGGAATTCCATATGTATCCTTCTGTACTCAGGAATGTTGTAGATAAAGGGATTGGATTAAATATTTCATAAATGAAATGACTATGTGAATTGACTTTACAGTTTAATTAGAATTATGACAAACATATGTCAAATAGGAAGTTACATAGAGACTAATGGTAATCCACCGCACGTAATACACGGCAGCCGTAAGTGAACGCAGATGGTTTTGTAGAAAACATATCATTTATTGTATAGCCAGGATGATCCACTATTCAAAATCTATTATGTTCTAAAGATAGTTAAGAAAATGTTACATGGGATGAACTGGAACTGAACTTAAAGAAGAACTCTGCTAACCACAGTTGGCCTCTGGAAGGGCCAACTGTCATTTTAGGAAAGCAATGCAGGTTACATGCATTAGGTCACCCCCCCCCCCACAGCATAACATAGTCTATGCCGCCCTCCTCGTGTGTCTTGGTAAATGGTTGATCAGATCCCATACACAATGAATGGGGCTGCCGTGTGCATGCTTATGTACAGTTGTCCTTTAACCCTTCCGCTGAGCCTTTTTTGCAATTCCTGCATACATGCTTAAAAAAATCATTTTAGCCCTGAAGATTACATAACTCCGCCCCCCAAAACATTATATATTTTCTGAAAGCAGATACATTACAAAATAAAGTGGTAGTTCCATTTTGTATGTCACACAGTATTACTGCAAAGTTCTTGGAAACCTAAAATTTCAGTAAAAATACACTAAAGTTAATTTTCGGGCACACACAAATGCAATAAATTAACCAATTTTTTTGAAAAAATATAAAAGGTGTGGTTGCATCAAGTAGATACCCAACATAAACCAAAATAAATATAACTCTAAATAAAATTCAGTGCTAAATTTGCGTGCGTTTCGTGAAATGGTAACATATTTCAGTACCATATATTTTCCATAGGTAACACTTTAATGGCCCCCTATAGTTCATCAGTTTAGCGTTAGGGAGGAGGTCTGGTGTTAGAAATCTTGCTCTCACTCCGATGTATGCGGCGATATGCAACATGTGTATCGCAATCAGCGTTTTCATGCATAAGCACCCTGAAGCGTAAGTTCATATGTGCGTATGCGTGGAGATGGGGGGGGGGCTCAAAAATTTTTTTTGGGGGGGGGGATTTTATGTGTTTGGGTGTAACTTTAATTTGTTTATAATTACACATTTTTTTTTTTTTCACTTTTTTCCATCACATAGAGGACAAAAAGTCCCCTATGTGATGCTTTTTGGTGACAGGTTCTCTTTAATGAGACATCCAGTGTCTAAAAGACCCTGCATGTCTGCCCTGTGCTACAATGAATGCAATGCAATGCACATCGCACTGCACTACATTACTTCCTGGTATGCTGGCTGGGGACACCAAGAGGTGGACTCGGATGTCGCTTTACAGGTCAGCAACAAGGAGGGGAGGAAAGCGGACATGAGACCCTCCTCTCTACCCATCGACACCCGCTGTGTTGGCCTTGGGCCCGCAGATGGGCAAGCAGACTCAGGATACATAGCGGGGGGGGGGGGCAAGCACAGAGGGGTGGGCCTTAGGGGGGGTGGAAGCAATTGGGGGGCAGCATAGCATGAATAAGGTGATATAGTTATGGTGCTTTCCTCTGCTGTCCAATGTCCTTGGTTGGAGGGCCCTTGGTGACCTCACATACAATGCAGGATAGCTGGTCCTCCATCATACAGGATGATGTCAGAGAACTGTCACTGATGAGGTAGCAAAAGGAAGCAGCTTTGTACAGTAAATTGGAAGCTTGCAAGAGCAAAGACTAAGGAGTAAGGGCTGGTTCACAACACATGCAGTCCAGTGCATTTTTATTCTGCATCAAAAACGCATGGGCATTGTTTAATATGGATTCCAATGGCCCTAGTTCACACCAGTGCAGTGCGTTTCAGTGCAGTCAGCAAAAGTAGAACATATTGCATTTTTTCTGTATGAATGCATCTGGAATGCACATGTCCTCACATGAGATGAAAAAAAAGAGGGGAAAACCCCCAATGGAACACATCAAAAACACACATGCAAAAACGCATCTAGCATGCAGAAATTATGGTGTGAAAAGGCCCTAAAAAGGAAATGAATAAAGGATATCAGGTTATTCATCACCTCCTGGGCAAAATGAGCAGTTAACCCTTCAAATGCAGAGAGGAACCCACTTTAAGGTTAAAGTGGAACTCCCCCTCCTAACACCAATGATGACTAACGTATGTAAGAAAGATGTATGTACTTATCTGTTTTCAGGCCACTTCAGTCCGCTCACATGATATCCTCTGTGTCAGCCAGGGGCAGCTGCAGGGGAGTGGAGATAGTGCTCTAACAAAGGCTAGTAAAGCCTGGAGCCGTGATGCCACCAATAGGCTTCAATGGTACATTCTTTGTCGGCGCTCCCTCCTCTCCCCCCTGCAGCAGCTAGCTGACACTGGAGAGCAGGATTATGTGACCGGACTACAGCACCCTGAAAATAGGTAAGTACTGTATATACTGTACATCTTTCTTACAGGTTAGTTAGCATCGGTGATCGGAGGGGGAGAGGAGAGTTTTAAGGATAGGAGGAAGGGTACAGTTTTAAAGTGTTAACAAACCCTGCATTCACTATATCTGGTCTCCCACAGTACACAGCATATGAAAATGCAATTATTTTGGTAAATATAAATTGCTAAATATCTTTTCTCATCAGCAGTATATAGCAGTCTTGTGACTTCTATCAGTGTCTGGCCGAGCACATGTTAAAACGTTCCTAAATCCACAACAGTAAAATCAGTCTGTATATGCAGTAAAGCATGCTTGCTATACTCACTGTGGAACTTAAGGAGTTAATCCTCTAAATTGTGTAACAAGGATGTTAGATCCTGTGTTCTCTGATCCTCCCCTTCTTCCAGTGTCCCAGTGTCCAGAGTCTTATCTCCTGGTAAGACATATCATGTGGAGTCACTCTGCACATGCTCAGTTTGGTGTGTATTGATAGGTGGTTTTTTTTCTTGGTAGAGTGCATGTGATCAGCACAGGGCCAATCAGCACTGTCCAGACAGAGGTCAAGGGTTCAGCATTCTCCTACAGCAAAATGAAAACTCCTCATACAAGCTTTAACCAGTGCTCTGCTGAACACTGATAGGCGTCACAAGACTGCTATATACTGCTGATGAGAAAAGGTATTTAGCAGTTTATATTTACTAAAATAATTGCATGCCCATGTTCTGTGTACTGTGGGAGACCAGATAGAGTGAATGAAGGGTCCTGCATTTAGTAACACTATAAAGCTTATAGGAGGAGTTTAATTCTCCCCTGATTTTCCTGTGAGGATCCCCATACCCTCTGTTTGGACAGTGCTGACTGGCCCTGTGCTGATCTCATGCACTCTCCCAAGAAAAAAATAAAACCTCTCTAACAATACACACCAAACTGAGCATGTGCAGCTTGCTTTCATGGTTCTGATCAATCAGCATATGGATTGGGGACTGTGGAAGAAGGGGAGGGTCAGAGAAGACAGGATCAAACAGCCTTTTTACATAATGCGGAGGGTTAACCCCTTAGGTTCCACAGTGAGTATAAGAAGCATGCGTTACTGCATATACAGACTGATTTCACTGTTGTGAGCTTAGTAACACTTTAAGAATTGGATGAAGCTGGCATTCCACTTTAAAGGTTTTTTTTTTTTCCCCGTAGTTCAGCTTTAAAGCGAAGCAGCACATAGACTGCATACCCACATTGAGGTAAAATGCTAAGTTCTTATTTTTCAACTTGAATGCACTTTTATTGCAGAGCCTATTACATAAAGAGATCTAGACATTTTCAATATTACAACACATTCAGTGAGACGTAGACGAGAATTTTAGCCGTACCCTATATAAAATAAACCATACATCATTATCCAAATAAATCACTGAGTACCTAAAATTATTTAATAATCAGCATAATTAAAGGCAATCGGTTTCCTGCACTTTTCCTAACTGTGATGTTTATACACACAACATACCTTCAGGACAAAGCAGTGGTCCGTCGGAGCTTTGTATTTGACTTTATACTGCATGCCATAATAAACATTGACATTATCAAACTGTATAAAACAGGCCAGATCACGAGATGTCTGCAAAGGAAACACAAGGGAAAGACGAAGAGGATTATTGTGATTACAAAGTTTGGAATTTAGAGAAAGCGAGATATTTTTGTCCTTGTGGTCGAAATGTCTGAAAAAGGAACCTTCTTTGTTGCCAACAGCAACTAGTCAGCTTCCATGTTTCCAGGGCAGATTGGCAGATGGAAAGTAAAGAAAAGAAGCTCACAGTCATTCTTTCAGACAGTTTGGCAATCAGGCATTTCTAAAAAGGTCCTACGGTGATAATATAATATTTTTTACACATTTGTTTCCCCTGTGCTCAGGTGAGAAAACAGCAATTCTGAAATTGACTGCACAGGTTAAAGTGTATATACAAAATGTTGCACTGAGCCCTTTAACCTCACTAGCGGTCTGATTATGTCAGTATTTCTGTGCTCAAAGATGTACATTGTTTTTCAATGGAAATAAGCTGTTTTTTTTATTGTGGGCCTGTAATTCTTAGGAATAACTCACTGAAATCTGTCCGAACAAGAGTCTAGTAAACATCCCGGGTATGATGAAGTTTGAAACACGAAATCATAAATTATAATAAATAATCATAAAAAATAATAATATAATAATAATAAATTTAATTCAATAATATAATCAAACCAAAACCACTGAAATTTGAAATAGAGCGCCAAGTTTGCACATCACTGAGCTAAGTCGCAGAATCGTTTTCAGTGTCTGATGACGAATTTCCCCACGAATCATTATCACTCAATTCTGCAAGTTGTTCTAATTTACTATCGCTGTTCTCTAGCTGGGCTAAAACCGATTTTGACCTAAAGGGATGCTTTTTAGACGCCATGGATGTTTCTCAGTTTCCAGACAGAAAGAACGGTAAAAATGCAGGCAGGGCACAGGACAAAGCACTCGGGACAAAATGTATGTGAAATGGTTTGATACAGGAATGTTTATACTATGTGATTTTAGTGTATTGAGTGAATGTCGAATTTTTAAATTTTTTTGAATTTCCCGCCGGTTCCGTCCCCCGTCTGTCCCAACACTCGCAGGGAACAGAACCCGGAAGACGGATGCAGGCATTGGCCAGAGGAGATGGCCGGGGACGCTGCAGGGGGGACATCGCGGGAGCGCAGGACAAGGTAAGTGCTCAAGGGATGCCAGAACAACACTGCAGGGTAATCCCGAGTGTAGCTCGGGGTTACCGCTTCTGGTACTGAAAGTTAACCCCAAGCTACACTCAGGAATACCGCCAGGGGGGTTAAATCATATACTCATACATAAACTGTGCATATTCCACATAGGAAATAGAGAATAAACGTGACAAATAATTCATAAAGTGAAAATGTGAACATCACTTAGTGTTGAAAACAGCCAAACGTGAGAAATGTCCAATAACGGCTGGAACACGATGGGGATATACTAAAACTGGAGAGTGCAAAATCTGGTGCATAGAAACCAATCAGATTGCGGGTTTTATTTTCAAAGCTTAATTGAACAAGCTGAAGTTAGAAGCTGATTGGCCACCATGCACAGCTGCACCAGATTTTGCACCATGCAGTTTTAGTAAATAACTCCCAGTATGACTCTTGAATGGGATCCATTCCATGCTCCTCCACCAATACACACTGCCACTGCTTACCAGATAGTTTGTGGGAAGGTGCAGTTAGCAACTTTGACACTAGGTAGCTCTATGCCGGAATACTGTCTGGTACAACAGGTAGTGTCACTAGGTGTTAGGCTGTTTTACGACAGAGCCCTCCAACAAGTGATGTCAGGGGTGTCAGCACCCACATATAAGCTAGGTGGGGCATGGGAGCTAAACACCCCACAACGTGAGTATGTAACCAACACATGTAGGCCCTGGACCGGGCAGGAGGCCAGGAGGAGTGGACTCGTATGCAGGAGGATCCAGCTGTAGTCATTCCTTACAGCGTTGGGGGATACGCCAGATTGCAAAAGACTCTTTAGCCCAGGCTGGAGATCCCTGTGTGAGCCTGCTTCCCAGGAGAGTTCCCAGGAGAGATGTACTCAGCTAGGACGTGTCTACAGATAACACAGTCCCAGGGGCGGACTGACAACTCATGGGGCCCCCGGGCAATAGGGGATCATGGGGCCCCTGTGTCCTCGCCCACGCTCAAACCACACCCAAAAAAGCATATGAAAGGTACCAGGGGCATCTCATGGGGCCCCCTACTGACCCCAGGCCTTTGGGCAGTGCCCGAGTTCCCGAATGGTCAGTCCGCCCCTGCACAGTCCTGTGAGTACTGATTACCCTGGGCAGAGGAGAGACAGTAGGGAGATAACTGTTGAAGTGCTGTCACCTGTGACTACTGCAGACCTTCCACTATATGTGATTGACCATGTATGTCAAGTGACACCGGAATGTATGTCCTTGTGATGTGACTGTATTGACATTCCCTGAACAACACCAGTACAGTGCAGTGAATCTGTTTATTGTGTGACATTTCTTCTTTGGGATATAAAGGACTATGGTTGGGAATGTCATGACAAGGCCTATGGCAAGGAGCAAAGCACAAGATGGTGGAGGGTTCAGCTCCATAGAGTGTTCTTGCAGGGGTGGAGCTGGGGTAGGGCCTTCAGTTTGTACACCGATGTCAACCATGACATCCTTGTAACAAATTAGACCCCAAATATCAAGAGGTCTAGCAGCACATATGTGTACCAGGACACTGCCAGATAGAACAGCAAACAATGCAGAGGAAGAACAGAGATGCTTTATAGTGTTGTATGTAAAACATCCATGTTTATTAAAAAAGAAGAAAGGTACTCACAAATAAAATAGTAAGAACAGCATGTATTGCAGCTCCACTCAGCACAGCAGGCGTGCATCATAACAGCAGGCGTGCATCATGTGGATTATGCACAGTTTATATATGAGTATGTGATTTAAAGGAGACACCACAACTTTTGTTTTTAACCTTTTACCTTTATATATTTTTGTACTCAGATATTGGATGAGTACTGCTGTCAGTTTTTGCATTCATAATAATTTCCACTCAGCGCAGAATTGTTTTTATATTATATGAAGTTTATATAAACCCAACAATGAACTTCTCTTATCTGCTCCCCTTTGATCTGATTAATATACCTTTGAAATCTGTTCAAAAAGTGCAAACAATACTGGTTGATCCTGCCAGAAATCTAGTGGGCTGATAACTTCCTGTCCTATCAGCCCAGCTCTGTGAGCTGCAGAATATTCCCCCCCCCATGCTTTAATGATGAGGAGGGAGAAGTGTTTTGTAGTCACAATACACTTTCTGTCTTTTAGTGACCATACCCGATCAATGTGTGATTTGATCAAAATGATCAAAAACACAAGCAATTGATTAGGTATCACTTCCTTTTCGAATGACTTAGATTCATTTACAGTCTTACTCAACCAAACTGAGTTGATTGGCCAGATCAGAATATTATCGATTGTTTCGCATGATTAGGTTATGAGATTACATTGTGCAAACAGAAATGTGATCGATAACTAAAGAACGTAACAATCATTTTTAATCCTTATGCTGCTAACATTAATAATTAGATTAGAAAGTATATTATATTTACTTGTTTGAAACTTTTTTTTTACATTTATTGAATTGCTTCCTGGTTTCTAGTCTAAGACAAAATGATGTCATACATCCCAGAAGCCCTCCTGGGAATTTGGAGGAGGGGGAGGGGCTTTCTCAGCTAAGCACACCCTCCTTCCTGCATGACTGAGCTAAGGGCAGATGGATTCCAGGAAGTAAATGCCGCATGAATCATCTGCCTATACTCAAGATGGCCATGGCTAGAAGGGGTGATTTTCAAACTGATTTCT